AGAGAGAGAGAGAGAGAGAGAGAGAGAGAGAGAGAGAGAGAGAGAGAGAGAGAGAGAGAGAGAGAGAGAGAGAGAGAGAAAGAGAACGGTAAGAGCGAAGGAGAGAGAGTTGGGGCAGCCGAAGTTCGCAAATAATGTGCTCCTTTCCAACTCAAATACTCGGTCCATCTTCCAGTTGGAATTCGCAAATATTGTGCTCAAGTACCTGGTCATTTCTTTCGGTTGAAGTTCGCGAGTATTTGTTTAAATAACCTGGTCTGATTTTCGTTCTCTCTTAATCGAAGCGCTGTCCGTCCCGAAATCTGTTCCTTTCGAAGCGCAGTCTGTCCCGAAATATGTTCTTTTCGAACTCAAATACTCGGTCCATCTTTCGGTTGGAGTTCGTAAATATTGTGCTCAAGTACCCGGTCCTTTCTCTCGGTCGAAGTTCGCGAGTATTTTTCTGAATAACCTGGTCTGATTTTCGTTCGCTCTTAATCGAAGCGCTGTCCGTCTCAGAATCTGTTCCTTTCGAAGAGCAGTCTGTCCCGAAATATGTTCTTTTCGAACTCAAATACTTGGTCCATCTTTCGGTTGGAGTTTGCAAATATTGGGCTCAAGTATCTGGTCCTTTCTTTCGGTTGAAGTTCGCAGGTATTGTTCTAAATAACCTGGTCTGATTTTCGTTCGAAGCGCAGTCCGTCCCGGAATCTGTTCCTTCAGAAGTTTGCTCTTTTGCGAAGCGCAGTCTGTCCCAAAAAGTGCTCCTTTCGAGGTCAAGTGCCTGGTCCGTGTTTCAGTTGAAGTTCTTTCTGCGTTCTTTTTGGGGTCAAGTGCCCGGAATTTTTTTGGGGCGAAGTTCGCTCCCCTTTGGAGCTTAGCTCCCGGTCCGCTCCCAGCACTTGGTCAGTTTGTCTCCGGAGGAATTTAGCAAGGGGTTTTCGCTGCGGTAGTCTCGCCATTTCCAAACTGAGTACTAGAGCTATTCCTCCTTCGGTAACATCGCTGCAAAAGTTTCCCCGAGACAGTTTGTTCAGTAAGAGTTAGCTGGAGGCTTTTCGCTGTGTACGTCTTTCCGCTTCGATAGTTCGCTGCCGGGCCTGCGTTCCTGCCAACGGTTCGCGGCAAAAGCCCCTTATTCTAAACTGCGGGCCAGGTCTGTTTCCCCGTCGAATATACGTTGCAGACTTTCCCTGTTCCGAACGAAATCCCCGGCCTCGTCTTCAGCTGAGGTTCGCTTCGGGGGGTTCCCATCTTCGAGCTGGATACCAGGCCTAATCCTCAGTAGAGGCTCGTTACAGTCACAAGTGGTTAAATGCTCGGTTGGGGGCCGTTGAGGGGTGGTCGGGTCAGAGACCCCCAAGGGGTCCGATGCAGCTTCGGGTGAGTGACTAGTGA